CTTATCCATTGTTATTGTTTTAATGTTTCTCTAAAAGCATTTGCAATCAGATTCATTGAAAAGACTCTAAAAGGTACTCTTAAATACAGGTTTCTAATAACTTTAAGATCAACAGACTAAATGAAAATTCTCAGAACTCTAATAAAGAAACTGATGAATTTGTGAAACTACTTATGATCAAGCAGAACAAAAATTAATTACATGAGATTAAATAACTGATGTTTTATGACTTTTATTTGAAACATTGTTAGTTCTTTACTTAAATGTTTTATTTTCCAGATCTAAGGATATTTTCTTTCTTAAGCTATCTATACCTTACAGCAATTTGATAAAGTATACTTTTGTGAAAACAAAAGTAAAAACATTTGCTTTTTCTCCCTACTTGATCCATCCAAAATTTGGAAACTATTCACGAGTATTCTCATGGCAATGTGGTTATTTACAAAAAAAATCTGTTCCTTCTTGATAGCAGGACACAACTGAAAACATTGGTTTTGTTCCCAGCGCTTTGTCTGGAATCTCATATTTGAGAACGTGCATAGAATACCCTGCTTCAAGGGTTCCCGGCCTTACAGTGGGTGAGTAAAACTGTCACTTCCTATCAGGCCCAGAAACCTCAAGACTATAGAAAAAGTCTAAAGTCTGCCTTGGTTTGGCTTCCCAGCCTCAGGAGGTTGTTAAAATCTGAGTGATTTTTTCTCATGTGATCAATGTGGGGAGAACATGCCATGTTTCTGAAGAAAAGCTGCAATACTCCTGTTACTAGACGGGAGCCCTGTGCACTGTTTCCAAGCTCCTCTTATCCACCTATAGACTAGACGACCTCCTCAATTCTTCCAGCTTCCTCCCATCCAACTGTCTCCCACACAATTACTAAAAGAAGAGAACTACTCTATTTCTGAAGCCCTATAAGCTGAAACTAAATGAATTTTAAGGAACAAGTCACATTCCTGATGTATGGGCCGCACCCAGAGTTCACCAAACCACTGATGCCACAACCAGAGACACTAAGACCACAAGACAGGACCAGAAGCTGACAGCTTCATGCTGTGGGCAGCTTCTCCCAAGGCACTGGAACAAGACTCCATATGAGAATGAGACATTTTCTCCTTAATGCCTACCTATTTGACTTGGCAGAATAATGGTGTGATGGAAATTTCACAATCAGTAGCTTCTGCTGGGAACTAGACAGAACCCTAAGAAATCCCTGAGTCCACCTAGTGGGTGACTTCGGCAACATCCCTAACACAACTGTCGCTCACTCTCTGCTTTAATCCAACTCAGTCATGGGACACTAGATGATAAAACTGCTCTACATTAGCCACTGCTTAAAGCAGGAAATGCCTGTGCTGTTGCTGATACTACATGCTACACCTGGACACATTCTTCTGGGAAAATTTAAGGCTAATATACAAAAAATAAGAAGATGGGTCTGGGCACGGTGGCTCATCCCTGTAACCCCAGCAGAGGCAGGAAGACAGCTTGAGTCCAGGAGTTCAAGATCTGCCTGGGCAACATGAGAAACCCCATTCTCCATAAAAAGGAAAAAAGATACACACCCCCAAAAGAAAACAGGCCACATATTATAAAGAGTCTCACGCAATTCCCCATGGCCATTTAATTTATTAAACTGGTTGGCTTTAAGCCTATGTTCATGACTCAAGACCATTATGCAAACTGGGTTGTTATATTATTATTAATTTTACTCAGCATTTTCCCTTTTTTCAATTTTGTATCTCTTGCTTTAGTCTCTGTAGCAGTACAACTCCTGTCAGAATCATGTTGGCCGAGTGCGTTGAGATGGTGGCCAACACCCATGGAACACACACAACTGTGTGTAACAGTGAACTCCAGGTCGCCTGCGCCTGGGGCCACTCCCTCCACACACCCCTGGTTGCTCGAATGTGGCTAAATGAGCTGACACTGACTCCTCGTCACCAGTCACGTCCTGCTGATGTGGAACCAGACCACATCAAACTGGGACAGTTCCATCGCCGCACCAAGGGGCAATCAAAGCCTAACTACAGGGTGATCGCTCAGCTAAGCTTTTGGAAAAAGATCTTAATTAAAAGGGGGGAGTGTGAAAGTTGCCAGAATGAAAATTGAGTCACTTGTACTAAAAACCCTAACAAACAGAGACAGAGAAGGCCAGGAAGGGAGGGTTCTTATGCTCATAGACCTGATAACAAATCCAACACCAAACATCGCAAAGACCACAACCTTGCACCCAGGCCATCCCAGTCTTGCACACAGAAAAAGTCCTCTGAGGACATTGGTCCCACAACTGCCTGTCCTACCCTGGACTGGTACCATCCTTGTAGGATAATTATCTGAAAACAATCATTGATCCTCCTCATTTTTCATTTAAAAACCTCTGTCTTCCTTGACCTCCCTGAACACGCATAGTTTACTACAGCATGCAGATTCTCATTGCAATGCCTATTCCCAAATATTAATAAACAACATTTTCTTACAGAGAGCCTTCCTCTGTGTTATTCAGGACGATGGGCTCAAGAGGCAAACCACCCCTCACTTGGGAAGGCTGCTCAGATCCCTCTCCCAGGAGTAATGGAAGGCTGCCAGCAGCGAGCAGGGACCACGTAGAAAAGGGCAGGCAGCCTGCCACCTGGGCCATCCTCCTTGGCCCCAGTAAGAGATTTACAGCCAGAAGTTTCAGGTGTGGGGCAAAGACAGCAAAACTACACACCATGTGGAAAGCAGCAAGGCCCTGGTGAAAACGGCGCATCCACTGGGGACACCCAGTGATTAGACACCAGAGCTGTCCACCAGTGCGTGGCACTGACCCTGGCATGGGGCAAGCCCAGCAGCAATCCACCTTGAGACAGAAGTTTCCATCCAGCAGCGAAGGGGCAGGTTGTGCGGACCACATGGCCCAGACCCACATATCATTCACCAGGGCGCCAGCACAGCTGTCCGCCCACACCTAGGGCCAAATGGTGAATTCCTCATGATCTACAGAAAAGGAGGAAAAGGAACAAGACTGGTGCACAGATGGGTCAGCTCAGTATGGCAGAGTGAGCCAAAAATGGTCCCGGGGTCCTAAGCCTCAGGCTAGGCCCTGCCACAGGTGGCACACCCACCTTCTGTGTCTTCAACAGCAGCACACATGCCCCATTGCAACCGATTCTGATTGCTGCCTGCCCAGATACAGCATGCTAGCCCCAATCTGCCCTCAAGCTCCCTGGAGAGACCAAGGCTAAACAGGGCATCCACGGGCAGATTCCTGTTTGCAGCCCCAACATTCCAATCCCCAGACCCCTGCCATCCCTGAAGTCACCTCTTCGCCTGGAAGAGCAGGAGTTGGAACAGCCACTGTGGGCAGAGCCTGGCCACACCACTCACGCAGGCCCTTCCTGGCTAGGAACACTCTCACCTGTCCCACACGCGCTCAAGGAGACATGTACAAGAACGCCATAACAGGAGACTGTCTCCCACTTCCACTCAGTGTCTATCGACATCGGAAGGCATCAATAATCGTCAGAGATTCCTAACAGAATGCCATACAGCAAGTAAGAGGACTGAGCTGAAACTCCAGGAGTAAACCTTCAAACCATGACATCATGTTCAGAAGAAGACATTGATAAGAAGAAGACATAGAATACAGCTGTACCTGCATAAAATTTTAAAACATGCAAAATGGAACAGTCAAAGGATCAGTGGTTGTCAGTGTTCAAGGGGAGGAGGGTGCAGGGATAAACAGGTGGGGCACAGAGGATGTCCAGGGCAGGGGTACATGGCAGAGGATGTTTGTCCAAACCCACAGAGAAGACAGCACGAGCAGGAAACTGCATGTGAGCTGTGGACATGAGCTAATCATCACGCGCCCACGCCAGCCTGTGAACTGCAGCAAACATCCACACCAATGCAGAAAACGATACTAACTAATGACACAGGGCATTTTTAACACGTGGGTGGGGGGCATAAGGGAACTCTCCATACTTTCTGCTCAGGCTTTCTGCAAAGCTAAAACTGCTATAAAAAATAAAATCTATTCATTGTTCTTTACAAACGAAATACAGAGGCTGGGCACAGTGGCTCGAGCCTATAATCCCAGCACTTTAGGAGGCCAAGGCAGGCAGATCACAAGGTCAGGAGTTCGAGACCAACATGGTGAAATCCCATCTCTACTAAAAATTAGCTAGGTGTGGTGGTGCACACCTTTAGTTCCAGCTACTTGGGAGGCTGAGGCTCAAGAATCTCTTGAACTCAGGACGCAGAGGTTGCAGTGAGCTGAGATCACACCACAGCACTCCAGCCTGGTGATAGAGCAAGACTCTGACTCCAAAAAAA